GACTCACCACAGGAGCTTTTATTTTGGTAATTCTTACCTTTTCTGGGCCATAAGGGTCAAACAACAGAGAATCCCTCAGTAACAATAGAGCCAGAACAGATCTAATTATTAACTGCAGATACAAGCCAAACTACTGCAGGAAGCACAACATGATATTTAATAAGTAATGTGAGAGTGAGAAGACGATAAAGAGGTTTTCCACCTTTGTAAATCAGCTTCCACCGCTTGTTTTGGTGCTGCTGCACAGACGACATCAGAATCTGAAGTAGAAGTTAAAGGTTTGTGACTGCAGGATCAAAATAGGACGTTTCACTTTCATCATGCTCCTTTGAAAACAACTTTTCTCTCTTTGATCAGCTCAGAAGTGACGCTCTGTGGTGACAGCGGTGATGACATCATCATAGCCATCATCCAAAGTATTCACAAATCTCGGTCAAAATCTGTTAGTAAGCACTTCTTTGCCCAGAAATCCATCCACTTCACAGTTGGCATATCAAGACACTGATCAGACAGCATGGATTTCCTTCTGAAGGAATAAAGAAGTTACAACAGGTGTCTTTGTCATATTCAATAAAAGTAAGAATAACAGTAATTCAGCTCAAGGGCAGAGCTCATACACCAGAGGGTGATTACTGACCCAGAGAAACAGATAACTCATTTAATGCTAGGGAATAATTGTTGAGTTTAACTGTTACCTTCCTCTGGATGATAAGTCCAGGGGGAGGAGGAGCAACAATGTTTAAAATAAAACCGGGGCAAGAGAGGACAGGAAGTCAGGGTCATGTGCAAACTAAAAATTATATTTATTACAATGTTGACACGAAGGGAAGGCCAACACAAAACTACTCTCAAAAGGAGAAAGCGACAAAGCAGATAAGGCGGTAATCAACACAAGTTAACTAACAGAGCTATGTTCAACACTAACTGAACAAGAGTACAACTAAAAGTCCTCTCTCACTGTCCGCTGGGCTGACTGGTTGGCAGTGATCTGCTTACAGGTGTTCAGCAGTGTGGTCTCAACAGGTAGAAGGGGAAACTCCTTTTTAACATCCAGGCAATGAGTGGTGTTTAGGCAGAGCTGCTGACTCATGCAGGTAAGGTATGGGGGGGGGGGGCACTACCTGAGAGAGCAGAGAGCGAGAAGGAACGCACCCCAAATCAAACACAAGACCCTTACGGTCATAACACTAACAGAAAAGCCTTTCTCAGCCTTGACCCACAGGAAAGCAAAACACAAAAGGGGCGGTGGCGATGGAGCAGTGGATAAGACACATGCCTTTGGTGTGAGAGACCCAGGTTCAAATCCAGAGTGAGCAAGACCCTTAACCTCTTGTCAGAGGCGTGTGACCGCTGACATCTATAGCAATTGTAAGTCGCTTTGGATAAAAGCGTCAGCTAAATGAATAAATTTAAAATAATCTCACAGAAGGTCATTATATCAAAACATTGGTACACTTAGGGGAAATTATTACATAAGATGACATATAGAGGTTTATTAAAAGTGCATACAGGGTAAAATCCATTTTAAGCAGTTTGGTCTGAATGATCAATGTTTTCATTGTCATGATCAGGAGAATTGCTTGACATGAGTGGTTGTGTCTCAGGAAGGAGGCAGAACTTGAGCTGACATGTCTTCACCTCAGCGGGAGCCAACTTGAGTGAATCTGCGTCTCTTTGCGTCGTCTGAACAAAACCACATTCAGTAATAGAAAATAAAAACAGCGAATATAGATGTAAAATACAGATTTAATGTAAATATGTTTAACTACAGCTCAATAACAAGAACATATGTATGAAGCACACAGAAACAATATTTCAGCAAGCAGTTCATTCTTGACTCGAGCTGCACGATTTGGAGAAAAAGTCGTATTTTGATTATTGTGGACAATATTGCGGTTCGATTATAATGGAACAAATGGTCCTTTGAGTCTACTTGCTTAATTATCAAGGAAAAAGCACAAAATACTGACATTTTGAAGTGTGTTTTTCTCAACTGGAACAAAGTTAAACGATAAACAATATTTATAACAATAACTAATAAAAACATGTAAAACAGAACCAAAGGAACATGTTGCTCTACAGAGGAGGCCGCTAGAAGGAGCAAATATTGGCTCCATCTAAATCTACATCTGTCCACTGCAGAGACTCCCTCCACAATCTGGAGGAGGAACTAGTATACATGAGTGTATTAGTGTAATATTACAACATTAAAGAGTATAATGTTCATTTAATAGTAGCCAATACCGTTAGTGTAACAACAATACCATATATTCATTAGGTCACATATTAGTATACTGTTATACACTAGTTGAATATTGAATCCAGTTACCGCTGTTTCATTACTGTGGGTTGTTGTTATTTATTTAATCCTTGTGCAAGCAAAAAGCTCTTCATTGGTAATTTGTTAATGCTAAGAACTAACTTGACATATAATGCTATGAAAATGCAGTGACTGCCCCCTACTGGTTGTAACCTGGCTACTGCAGTTTACTTTTGCTATTTGCTGATGAAACTTCCGGACTGACGCTTTCCAGCTTTTTCCAAATCAAACTTCCTCAGCTGTCATCACATGACGTTAGTCCAGCACAGTCACATGATAACAGTAGGGCTGCAACGATTAGTCAACGTAATAGACGACACAGGCTATAAAAATTTGTCGACGTGAAATTTCATTGTCGTTACATACAGGTGCTGGTCATATAATTAGAATATCATCAAAAAGTTTATTTATTTCAGTAATTCCATTCAAAAAGTGAAACTTGGATATTATATTCATTCATTCCACACAGACTGATATATTTCAAATGTTTCATTTAATTGTGATGATTAAAACTGACAACTAATGAAAACCCCAAATTCAGTATCTCTGAAAATTAGAATATTAAGCAATACAAAAAAATAATTTTTAGAAATGTTGGCCAACTGAAAAGTATGAGCATGTACAGCACTCAATACTTAGTTGGGGCTCCTTTTGCCTGAATTACTGCAGCAATGCGGCGTGGCATGGAGTCCATCAGTCTGTGGCACTGCTCAGGTGTTATGAGAGCCCAGGTTGCTCTGATAGTGGCCTTCAGCTCTTCTGCATTGTTGGTTCTGGCGTATCGCATCTTCCTCTTTACAATACCCCATAGATTTTCTATAGGGTTAAGGTCAGGCCAGTTTGCTGGCCAATTAAGAACAGGGATACCACGGTCCTTAAACCAGGCACTGGTAGCTTTGGCACTGTGTGCAGTTGCCAAGTCCTGTTGGAAAATGAAATCTGCATCTCCATAAAGTTGGTCAGCAGCAGGAAGCATGAAGTGCTCTAAAACTTCCTGGTAGACGGCTGCGTTGACCTTTGACCTCAGAAAACACAGTGGACCAACACCAGCAGATGACATGGCACCCAAACCATCACTGACTGTGGAAACTTTACACTGGACTTCAAGCAACGTGGATTCTGTGCCTCTCCTCTCTTCCTCCAGACTCTGGGACCTTGATTTCCAAAGGAAATGCAAAATTTACTTTCATCAGAGAACATAACTTTGGACCACTCAGCAGCAGTCCAGTCCTTCTTGTCTTTAGCCCAGGAGAGACGCTTCTGACGCTGTGTCTTGTTCAAGAGTGGCTTGACACAAGGAATGCGACAGCTGAAACCCATGTCTTGCATACGTCTGTGCGTGGTGGTTCTTGAAGAACTGACTCCAGCTGCAGTCCACTCTTTGTGAATCTCCCCCACATTTTTGAATGGGTTTTGTTTCACAATCCTCTCCAGGGTGCGGTTATCCCTATTGCTTGTACACTTTTTTCTACCACATCTTTTCCTTCCCTTCTCCTCTCAATTAATGTGCAGGTGTTTTGAGGTAATTAGCTGATTATAGTGTGGCACCAGGTGTCTTCAATACTGAACCTTTTCACAATATTCTAATTTTCTGAGATACTGATTTTGGGGTTTTCATTAGTTGTCAGTTATAATCATCAAAATTAAAAGGAATGAACACTTGAAATATATCAGTCTGTGTGGAATGAATGTATACATTATACAAGTTTCACTTTTTTGAATGGAATTACTGAAATAAATCAATTTTTGATATTATATGATATTATATTCTAATTATATGACCAGCACCTGTAGATGCCGTTAGGGGACAGATGGGAATCTTCATACCAGGAACATTTCTGGTTGTTCATTTCTAACTGGAATGCACTATAGGAAGTGCTGGGAGCAGTACTTCGGAGAAAGAGGCGAACAGCAGAACGGCTTTTGTTTTGTACACTTTTGTAAGTTTTGTATGTTATTTAATCATTAAATACACTTTTGTGGCGAGAAATCAACTGTGTACAATTTGAATATTGGCAGTTTTACCAAAGTTGATGGCGAAATGGAAATGTGCTCAAACGTTTTCAGAGTTGAGAAGCTCCACAAGCGCAGGGTTAGCGGTGCCAGCCGGCCAGCCAGTCACGCCCACAGAACACCCTGGTCCCAGTTACTCAGTTCAGACCACTGCAGCAGCAACAACAGAGCAGCAGCGACAGAGGATGTTCATTTATTATTACCGGCCCGCAACAATATCAACGCTGACCGCCACTTTTTTTTTTTTTTCCCTAGTCTTATTTAGAATCTTATTTGATTGCAGATGAGCGCCGTAGCGCATTTGCGCAGCACATCCTCTCGCTCATCTCTCTCTCTCTCTCTCATTAACACCGCAGCACATATCTGTCCAACACAACACTGGCAATGTCGGAGACCCAGCTTTAAAAAAAAGTTAGTGGAAATGAGTAATGGTTTAAAGTACATCGAGGGCCATCTGGTTCGTGATGTAGCCTACAGAACATTCTCCACCGAGTTATTTCCTAAAACCTATAAGCACTTTAGAAAAATAAACTAATTTAAAAGGGGACTGTTGCTTTATTGTTCTAAATAGACATTACATTCTTAGTGTACAGTTGTGGTTATATTAGTTGATTTAATTTATTATAGTTCCAAAGCAAAAATCTTTGTTAAACAGTTAAAAGTTTGTACAAATCAGTGAATTATAGGAGTAGCCTACGCTGTCTTGTCTTCTTCCCTGGTTTCCCCCTGGCATTGATACTGGTGTTCATTCTGAATAGTAAACCTCATTCACTAAAAGGGTAACGCTAGCTAGTTAGGCTGTGTGTTGGAGATCAGTAATTCATTTGAAAGATATTTAATTAGTTAAATGGTTTAATTAGGGTTAGGTTTAGGGGGTGACAAAAATACTCGTGACTAGTCGACTAATCGAATAAATAATTAGTTAGTTACATTAGTTGCAGCCCTAGATAACAGGAGGTTTTATTCACGGCAGGAGGAAACCGCTAGCTCAGCTCTGTGAAAATGTCAAAATGATGCATTGTGAATGAATTTGTGTCTAAGGGTTCTCCTGTTGGTACATGATTTGCCACAGCTGCATGATTTCACTCTAGTCTGAACATGTTAAAGGATTTTTAGGTGACCTGATGTAGTGAAGATTTTTTCACACTATTCACACGTGAGGTTTCTCTCCAATATGAACACGTTGATGCTTTTTTAGGTGAGCTGATTGAGCAAAAGTTTTTCCACACTGTTCACACCAGTACGGTTTCTCTCCAGTGTGAACACGTCGGTGGATTGTTGCTTCAGTTGATGTAGTGAAAGTTTTTCCACACTGTTCACACCTGTAAGGTTTCTCTCCCGTGTGAACACGTAGGTGCTTTTTTAGGTTACCTGATTGAGCAAAAGTTTTTCTACACTGTTCACACCTGTAAGGTTTCTCTCCAGTGTGAACACGTTGGTGCTTTTTTAGATGACCTGATGTAGTGAAAGTTTTTCCACACTGTTCACACCAGTAAGGTTTCTTTCCAGTGTGAACACGTTGGTGCCTTTTTAGGTTACCTGATCGAGTGAAAGTTTTTCCACACTGATCACACCTGTGAGGTTTCTCTCCAGTGTGAACACGTTGGTGCTTTTTTAGGTGATCTGATTGAGCGAATGTTTTTCCACACTGTTCACACCTGTGAGGCTTCTCTCCAGTGTGAACACGTTCGTGGATTTTTAAGTTACCTGATTGAGTAAAAGTTTTTCCACACTGTTCACACCTGTGAGGTTTCTCTCCAGTGTGAACACGTTGGTGCTTTTTTAGATGACCTGATGTAGTGAAAGTTTTCCCACACTGTTCACACCTGTACGGTTTCTCTCCAGTGTGAACACGTTCATGGATTTTTAGGTTACCTGATGTAGCAAAAGTTTTTCCACACTCTTCACACCAGTGCGGTTTCTCTCCAGTGTGAACACGTTGGTGTTTTTTTAGGGCACCAGATGTAGTGAAAGTTTTCCCACACTGGTCACAGCTGTACAGTTTCTCTCCAGTGTGAACTCTCTGATGAATCTTCAAAGATTCAGATGTGAAGGATTTGTCACAGAGCTCACAGCGGTGACGTTTGAGTCCAGTTCTTCTTCTCCTTCTCTATATCAACAAAGAGAAACACAGTAAGTGAGATGTCATGGTGGAGCGAGCTATCTAAAACCATAAATGACATTAGAGCACATCTTTGAAATCACCTACTAATGTACTGTACCCACAGTGATTAGGACTGTCATCCACACTCACACACTGAATACTAAATAGGTGGAAAGTAACTAATTACAATTTACAAAAGTCACATTACTTTTATTGAGTAGTTTTTTGTGCACTTTTGAGGGCCTGAGTCAGCCATTATGGATTTAATGGTCGTTTTTGGTGATTTACACACTGTACTTTAAAGAACACCTCTTAGGGAATTAGTTCAAATCGACTACAAATTTTCACTGTGCAGTCGAAATCCACTGACAGTTAAAAGTTGTACAAACGGAGAGTTTGTCCACAAATGTGCCCATGGTGTGACCTCGAAACATTTACCAAGAAATAGGAAGATGTTATAACTTCACACAATATATACTAACATCTGTACCAAATTTGATATGAATAATAACAGTCCCGCCATGAACACATCCATCTGCCATCATTCACCCAAAGTCATAGCGCCACCTGCTGGCAACCAAAAATGTCATGTTTTACGCTACAATGGATCAATTACAACAATTATCATATCAAGACACACAAAAGCCTCAAGAACCCATACCCTAAACTCAACAGGAAGTCAGCCATTTTTACTTGATACAGTATTGCAGTGTACCAGCCAGTGCTGATCTAATTATTTTATACCAAAGAAGGAATAATCCAGAAACTCCCTTTGGGGGGGGGGGGGGTTGAGATATCAACCCACAACAGACAGCTGAAGTACCCCAAAGGAGGGGGTGAAAGTTTTGCACCACTCCCAAGTGCTGTTTGGGCAGTTTTGACCATAAAATCTACCACCTCCGGTGAAGTTGAGATGACAGACTCATGCATGACTGTTAAAATGACAATATTAACCTTGTCGAGAGACTAACCTCAACCTGAACATGAGAAAAGCCAGATGCCAGGAAGGACAGTCCCAAATTCCTTTGTGTGAACAAGAATGTAAACTTATAAACTTGCCTTATTACCTTATTATAATTAAATCTTTAAGTTATTTATTGGCCTGACACTTCAGTTTGAGTAGTTCTATTACCATGTTCTAGTTAGAAACTGTTGAAAAGCAGAATCCATAAATAAGTTAATTTTGCAGTCGTCTTTAATCTTCAGCAATGGTCACTGGATTTCCGGCATTTAATTTTTATTGTAACTAATGTTGTTCCAAGCACCTTTATATACTTTCTTTATAAATTATATGGTTCAGAAATAGTCCTGTGTTGAATAACCAACTTTCACGCCTGACCCAAGGATTGAGTTAAAAGGGGCTATATGTAAGTTTTTGATTTTAATAAATGAAATTGCCTTATTGTCAGTGGGCTCAAAACTCACTGTTTTCTTCGTTGCTTGCATCAGACAATATTCTGCTTTTAATGTGAGGTCTCCGGGTCGGATTCAGCCTTGTGCGCGCTCCCGAGCCGCTCTCAGACTACAGCGGCAACACGGCAGCTAACGACATGAAGTCCACAAACACCATCAAACAACCGGCTCAGAGCAAAACGCAGGCTCCACGTAAGGATACAAAAACAATAAAGTTTTATGTGCTGAAGCCCATCAGACCAAACAGGTTCAGATGATGTTGAGTAAGAACAAAGTGATCATTAGTAAAGCTGGAGAAATACAGAGAAAGTCACGTTAGCTCGCCAGCTAACGGCAAGCAGTTGCTAATGTTATCCGGTGCAAAGTTATATAACGTTAGCTTTCCACATTACTTCACCAACTAACGTGACCCGTGTTACCATCCTGTGTACCACTGTTGATTTAGCCAGCAAGAAAAGATGTAACAGCAAAAAGCAAATGTGGAGCCATTTGTTCACCAACGTTAGCCTATAGTGATGCAGCCAGGAGCAGCCAGCTAACACTACAGTAGCTCGGATCTGCCGCAGTTTTCTTTTTAACATTCAGTTTATGTTTATTGTGGTTTTACCAACACTCAGGTACACAGCTTCACCACCTCTCAGTTGCTGTAACTAACTAGACACACATAATATAAAACACTGCACCAAAATGGTCACAACAACCCAGAGGAAGGAAGAGCAGTCCACTAACACTAGTTACAGTAAAGTTACTGACTGTGGTCTAACTGTTATAAAGTGTGACACAATCTTAATATTCAGTCCAGCTCACTAACCGTTTCATTATCATCCAGTACATGTAGCTGTGCTGACATTGCTGAGCCTCTGGTGACAGATTCACAGATAGTAATAATCGTTGCTGAAAGCAGCAGGCGAGCTAACGATGTAGCATGTCGGCTAAATGCAGTAAATGTACTGTGATCATGTAACGAGCATGGATTAGTTCAACCTGCAGCTGATAAAACTATTACTGTAACGTTGCAGTGGAAGTTTACGGAGTTTCCAGCTCTGTCTGTCTATAGCTGCTGTCACTCCGCCTTTTTTCGTGAGGATTGCGCCGATATGCGACTCGCTGTGCTCAATGAAGTAACGTTATGGAGCCGGTGTTGATCTGCCTCTGAGACGGGAACGTTGAAGTAACCTGAACTGTATGACAGTGATTGACGATTAACCATAACTTTTCCTTTGATCAAATGCTTAAAATGAAGAACTTTACAAGAGTTGAATGTGGAACCTTTGTTGAATTTACTTTCTTTTGTTTTGTTTGTTAAGAGTAATCAGACCATTTATACCATACAAATTTGAATTCAGGAACAACCAAGTTCCCTTTTAAGCTTTATTTTAGAATTAACTTCCACCGCTCCCACCAAAGTTCGGACCCAGCCACGTGGGTTAGTTACACTAGCTGAACACCGAGGACATCAACTGACGAACCGAGCCAGGGTTTGTGTTGCGAGTTGTGACGGACCTCATGGCAATCACTGGCTGACAAAGCGACCGGCCGACGGCGTGCCAAGCCGTTGTAACCGTGAACCTATGAAACTCAGCCTGCGTTGGGCCGTCCATACGACCTGGCAGCAGTAAGACAAAACAAACTACATTCTGTGGTCAAGTTGATGTGCTATATTTTTAATCCTTTAGCCTTAAATCCTTAGTCATTTTAGCCTAAAACTCCTAGCCAAATTTAACTTAGTTATGATCGTATAACTTGCGTTCATTAGTTATGTCGCTCCCTTAGAATCAGATTCTTTCTCACAATAGACCAGTAAATACACATTGAACTCCATTATTCTCATTGATTACATCCTGGTTGTTTAATAGTCATTGTTTTTATGACATTTATTTAACCTCACTTTGTATTCACGTTAGTTAATAAATGTCACCTTAATCACAGGAACTGCGTGTGTGTACTGTTTAAATCCAGGTCACTGGACGGAGGATATACGACTTTGATATGAGACTAACTGATTGATTAAACTGATTCAAAATGATGAGCAATTAACTAACTGGTCACCATTTAATAATTGTGTCATTAAAACCATACCCAAGGAGTCCTGAGACCTTTCTGAATATTAATATTCACCATTTCATTGACTAAGTAGGTTTGCTACAGAATTAATCCGATCAACTTCAAGTTTTCATCAGTGGGAGTGTCCGTGGCATTTCGTCAGCCAAAATCAATGATTTGCCATGAAACAGAAAGTTATTATAACTTCAGTTAGGGATGGGGCTCGAGACTCGGTTCCAAAATTTCTTACAACCAAAAAAAATCAATAAGGTTCGAGGTTATCGATACTGCTTTCGAGACTTGCTGGTCTTATCATGTAACATTATGTCTCAAGCAATAAAACCTTTGCAAGTAAAAAGACAATATTTTATCAATATACCCGTCGGTAAGGTAACGTTAAACATATATAAATGGGTAATTTAATCATCATCACTCATCTTGCATATTTTATGCAAGCACAGCTAACGCTAGCTTGGCATTAGCCAAATGTTAAAAACAAGCTAAATACAAAGCTGTCTGTCTGGAGCACAGACTGGCCTGTAGTCTTAAAAACTCAGCTGCTGGCTGAGACAAACCAGCCGCTCCTCCTTCTATCTGGTAACGTTACCTGCAGCCAGCGAGAGACAAGGAGGGACTGATGTTATTCTTTCTAAACATCACTCACTACTTGTGATGTCAGATCAAGTTATTGAGTTACTTTGCTGTTATAAACATTAATGTTGCTGCTCTACAAACATTTAGCTGTATTTAAAATATTAAAACAACCAGACAGTTAATTTCTACACTTCAATATATGTTTATTTATCACAAGTGATATGTCATCTCAATATATCGCACACTGAATATTTTCCTCAGACCATGCAGGTCTACCTCAGGCCTGTTGGGTCTGGTCTTACCAAATAACCATCACTGAATAAAAGTGAAGTATCGATAAAGAATCGGATCGTAAAACAGTCTCAATAAGGGAATCAATATCAATTAAAATTAACTATCCCCATCCCTAACTTCAGTATACACACTCACCAAACTTTACATGTAGGGTGAAAGTCCCACCCCGAACACATCCATGTGCTAACAAACAATGCAATAGCACCACCCACTGGCAACAGGAAGTATTACATTTTACACGGTTATGTACTACTCCCAATATATTTGCCTCACCTGCTTCAAAACAGTCTCAGAGCTTTAAGACAATGATGATGCCATGTTGTGAATCAGATCTCAATCCAATAGAGCACCTTTGGGATGTGGTGGAAGGGGAGATTCACATCATGAATGTGCAGCTGACAAATCTGCAGCAACTACTACATGATGCTATCATGTCAATACGGACTAAAGTCTCATAGGAATGTGTCCAACACCTTGTTGAAAATATGCCACGAAGAATTACCGTACACATGGAAACGTAGTATCAGGTCACTGAAATCCAAACATTTTTGAAAACCCCTGCCAGGGAGAAGGTTTTAAGAAATGCTGGTTGCAGTGTTGTTTTGTTGACAGTAAAACCAGAGATTTTGCCTCACGACGTAAAAGTGCGTGCACCATTATCTGCTGTGTTTGATGTCAGATTGTGGGCCACTGCCTGCTTTGTTTACAATATTATTAGGCTCTGATTGACCAACATGGCTTCCATGGCTGCAGTGCACCTGCATAAACAACCTGAACAAAAACAATGTCGCAATTTTGTTTTGGTTCTTGCTGCTCATCGTTTTCATTCCTGAATTAGTTCATAATGCAGAGTGTGGCCTTCAAAGAGAAAAGACTTTGCAGATGAAGTTGGACACACGCGTGCACACACACACCTTTCTTTTACACAGACACCATCATCCAACATCAATATGACACATCATTTCAGGGGCAAGGCACCACTGCAGAAAACATGAAGCTCCGAACTGGAGCTGAGTTAGATGGTGAGTAACACTAAACATTAGAAAATCAGTCTATTCCCCCCACCTGCATAGGTCTCATTTACACTGGGGCCGTCCCCAAAACTTTTTCCGTTTTTTTCTCCCAAATGTTATTAGCTTGTAACAAGAAATGTTAAATAACAAATGTGAGTAAAATGACAATGTTTTTTTTGGCACAATAAAAAAAAACAAAAAAAAAAACATGCAATGCAAAGTAAATACAGAAAAACAGATCTGCATTATCCCAAAAAATTACATAAGCTAAAAAAACAATTTACTGAATACTGCATTATATTCCATTATATTTTTATATTCTGAATTGTCACCTGCCACCTGAATTTTGTGTTCCCCTATATATATATATATATATATATATATATATATAGACATTTCCACCATAAATTGGTTCAGAAATGTCTCCAGAATGCAGGAAATTAAGTGTTTAATGCTCAAAATCTTCTGGGGGACGACCTCGAGACCCCCCAATCATTTATTTTGCTATTATGCTATTATTTAAATAGCATCAAAATATCTTCTAGTCTAGCTGCTCTCGTGACCCCAATATTCTGGATTGTCGCATCTAATCTGAGCCCTTAAGTGTCCCCGCTACTTGTCAACACAAAGTGACGCCCTTTCCCACCTGTAACTTTCGCTGGCTGTTCAAGTCTTTGCAGTGTTGATAACACAACATGTACATGCATACTGTATGTATTAGTGAGTGCAGTGGTGCTTATGTATACTCACTAGACATATTTAGGACTATTACTACGATTCAAGCAGCCAATCCCAAAACAAGCAGCAGTGAAGTTAACAAGAAATCCTCCTCACAGATCAATCAGACGGATCATCGATTGTTCTGCGCGCTCCGCCATGAAACGTGCAGCACCGCGCATGCGCCACGCGGGAAAATGCCGACGGTCACAGATAAAGAAAAGAGAAACGCTCGTGAGTTTTTCTTTCAGCTTCCTCTCTTCAAGATGAAAACAGGAACCACGGAGACACTTTGGAAATCAAACCACGTCAACACAAACCCTGGAGCGGGTTTTCAGGCTCTGATCTCTAACAACAGAATGAACGGATGATACACGGACCCTCGAGACTCTTCCTCGTGTCTTTAGTCTCGTGATGAAGTCATGAACACTGACCTGAACATCGGTGCTATCAGAGCACGAGGCTGCTGTTTGGCTCCTGTGGTCCGGGTTCTGGTTCTCCATCGTCCTGCAGGTCTCCGCTGTGACTGGTGGACCGTGTTGTCTGGATTCTGGTCTCGGAGCTCTTCAGGCTGAGATACAGGAGCGCTGCGGGATCCCGCGGAGTGTTCTCGCGATGTCACGGCGTCTCGCCCCGCCCCTTAGTTACTGTCGCTAAGGCCGTTTAGAAACACGGCTCCTTGATTTCAGGCAGAAGATGAAGTTTAGTTAGTTGGTTTCCTGAAACCAGCTGATCATATTTGATGTGTATGAGGGAGTGTGCTTCACACAGAGCAGAGTTTTAATGAAGCGCTTGTTATTATCACATCAGAGGCTCATGAAAATATCCTGCTGAAGCTTTTTGTACAACAAAGACAGAAATAACTTCATGTGTCACATTTAATGTTGAATTTACAGGAAGGCAGAATCATTAAGAATTAGTCGTAGACAGCGTTTCACAAAGTTTCTAAAGGACTTTCTCCCCGGGCCACAAAGGAGTAGCTATATTACGGTTACTGTTTAAATGGTGAAATCAGATGAAACAGACAGTTTGTTCACAAACATCTGCTGCTTCTCTCGGCAGCTAAGAGAGTCCAAACACATCATTAACATCACAGTGAAGCTGTTTGTTCACTTAACGGGCCATCGTGTGTTTGTCCAGGTCGGCTCTCTATTCAATCATGATTCAGCAAATGAAAATGATTCCATGTGTGGAATCCAAATCAGAAATGAATCCAAAAACTCTGTCACTCTGTCTGCTTCCTCTTCTTCAGCCAAAAGAATTCTCTTTGCTTCCTCTTGTTGTTCCAGCTTCATCTCGGATCCTTTATGGGAGCTGAGCTCCAAATGTCTGTCTTCTTCTTCATTTTCTAATCTCAGTCTGCTGTCACACTTCACAAACAAACCACGGTTCTGATCTGCAACATTTCTCTCCATCTTTATTGCTCCCTCACATCTGGGGCCTGAATCCTGAAGCAGGTCTAACTGAGTCTGGGTCTCTGGGTTGACCTGGTCTCAGTGAGACTAACAATGGCTGTCCTGGATAACCAGTATCATCCAACTATTCAGTCCAGCTCACAACAGTTTTGTTATCATCCAGTACATTTAGCTGTGCTCACATTGCTGAGCCTCCTGGGTAAAGTCACACAAATAAGTTATGTTAGTTACTGAAAAGCAGCAGGCGAATATTTCCATTTGATGGAACGGTGCAGCCATAAAAACATGGAGGATCTGGTTTGAATCTCTCACTCAGTGATGACATCATATAGCCGAACTTCACTGAAGAGCTGGAACAAGTTGAACACAATAAATATGAGATGCTGTCAGACGAGTGTTTGTTTCTTCAGCTTCAGAGTCATTAATATGAAATGTAAAATGTTTGTGCTGTTAAAATCTGTGAATAACAACAAACTTACTGGGCTGCTGATCTTCCATTATAGGAGGACTGGTTGTTTCTATTAAAGGTAACAGGATACAAACCCTCTGCACACAGTTTGCTCCTCCAGTGACTTTAAAGTGAAAACTATCATCTGTTGAACAAACTGAAGCTCCTCTGCTGCCTCCTGCTGGCTGCTTCCTGTCACTGTCAGTCTGTTCGTCCCTCAGGACAAACTGGAGAGCTCCTCACAAAACATTCACATTAACACAACAGCTACATTTACTACACTGCTGTACTCAAGTACAACACTCAGGTACTTGTACTTTACTTTCTACTTCTGCTCCACATCTCAGAGGGAATATTGAACTTTTACTTCACTACATTTATCTGACAGTTTTAGTTACTTTACAAATTAGGTCTTTTACAAACAAACAAATACGAGTTCACATTTAGTGTTTAAAATATAATGTTTGTCATGAGATAAACTCCCAACAGTTTATACAATTATTCTTCTAAGTTTTCTTTTACACGACATAAATCCTCCACACCAGACTCTACTGCTGAAAATCTCTAATGAAGACAATCAACAACAAAATGAGTTCCAGCTCAACAACTACAGCAGTAAAATCCTGCTTTTACATTAATGAGTCATTAAAATTACAGAAACTTCATATTAATATCTTTAATGTTAAAAAAATCAACACTCGCTGAGTCACAATGATGAGATTTGAAGTAACTTACTGTCTTTTTTTTTTTTTAATCTTAGTTTTGGTATAAAAAGTATCTCTGTACCTTAAAAATGTTGACTCACCACAGGAGCTTTTATTTAGTTAATTCTTACCTTTTCTGGGCCATAAGGGTCAAACAACAGAGAATCCCTCAGTAACAATAGAGCCAGAACAGATCTAATAATTAACTGCAGCTTACAGCAGATACAAGCCAAACTACTGCAGGAAGCACATCAGCTTCTGTACGTTACAGTAAGGGAGGAAACATCAACGCTGACATGAGCTGAGGTGTAAAGGTCAAAGACATGTGAGCTAACAGACACATTAGAAAGTTCAATAACAAATCAAAGCTGCTCGTTCAGCCACTAAACGTCAGTGATTTCCTGTCAGAGCACAGCAGCATCCAGAGAGAGTAAAACAATGAAGGAAAGAGCAGAAGATGGAGGAACAGCAGCACTCTGTTCTCTTTATTCTTCATCTTTATTGGTCTGTCTGCTTAATGAGCAGCAGGTGGCGCTCAAACACAGTCTGACTCTTCAACAAAACCTCTGGAATCTCTGTTAAGCTGCGTTCCGAGCAAAGGAACTGTAGCCCGGAACTAAACCTTTGGAGGAACTCACTGTTTTCCACCAGAGGGACCAGGGTCTAAATGTAGTTCTGTGCCGCAGTCGGTCTCCTCCTCTCTAACACAAGTGGAACAGCTGATTACAGCAGGTAATAATGCTTTTGTCGCTGGAAATGTTTTAATAACATTACAAACTTGTGTGATTTTATTTTTGTGTTGCTTTCTCTGTGCTGGAGTTATTTTAGGAACTTGATGGTTTTACCCAGTTTGTTCTCCGCCAATGTCCACCTGAGATCGTATGTCGGCATTAAACAGCTGATGGAGTTACGCTAAATAGGCCTACTGGGTCCGAAGTTGTTGTTTTAAGTTTTCATCAGTCAGGAAGTTTTTTTTTTTACACAGAGCCAGAGTCGGTCTCCTCCTCTCCAAAACAAGCGGAACAGCTGATTACAGCAGGTACTTAAAGCTGGTTAAACATCCTGTTCCTCCAGTGCAGGCGGACACAGATGTGAGCGCTATTATCAGAGATAAATGTCTCCAATATTGACAGCAGACCGATGCTCGTTGATACTGCAGCCTTGAGCCAACTGATTTGTGGTGGAAATGGTACATTTCCCTCTGAAGAAATAAAGACTCTGCAACCAATAGTTGTCTTTGTGATATTTATTAAAAGTAAGAATAACAGAGTGATTCAGCTGAAGGGCAGAGCTCATTCACCAGAGGGCTGTTAGAGAGTCTGACCCAGAGAAACAGAGAAGACATTTAATGCTAGAGAATAATTGTGGAGTCTAACAGAAAAGCCTTTCTCAGCCTTGAACCACAGTGGAAACTCCTTTCTCACAGGAAAGCATGAAACAAAACAATCTCACAGAAGGTCATTATATCAAAACACTGGTACATTTAGTGGGAATTATAACATCACATAAGATGAACAAAGAACATAAGGTAATGACATATAGAGGATTAATAAAAGTACAGACAGGTAAAATCTATTTGTTTCCATTATAGTTCCCTCTTTGGCCGTCCCATGGTCACATTAAGTTTATACCAAACTGTCAGTTCATCAATGAATGCTCTCATCTTACTGTTTAAGCAGACACATCATTAGTAGACAAACTAAATGAGCTTCAGCTGTTTTTGTAGAACAGAGATATCATCAAAGAAATCATCAATGTTGTCATTGTCATGATCAGGTGGATTCAATCAGCTGAATCATTTGACATGTTTCTCAGGAAGGAGGTAGAACAGGAAGCGACTGGGTCTGCCTCCCTAAGACCAACATATTTATATGACGAGGACAAGAAACACCACACATGCTTCATGACTTCTCGGCCGCTACGCTCCTCCAACGAATGCCGCCTGGCTCTGCCATCCCTTCACACAAAGCAATCCCAGTCCCGGCTATTCTCATCTGTGACACCACGATGGTGGAACGAGCTATATTATATCTCTCTCTGTCTATTTCTCTATCCATATGTACATGTCCATTTACAATAAAGTTTTTCAATGAAGTGCTCTGGCCTTTCCAACATTTGCTGGTGCTACTGAGGCACAGAAAAAGTCTGTAAGATAGTCTGATATTGCCTCCCTCTATTTACCAAAGACAGATCAAAATCTTGATTTGTGCCTCAAGCAATTACGTTTTTAAAACAGGTAAGGCACATATATAGCCAAATAGGCAGGATGCTCAGCTGGTGTGGCCTGCCTAAATTAATCGTGCGAGGTATGGGAATTATGTGTATTTGTGTGGTTATCAGTATGTCTGATGGTTAGCTCTGTGCCGTAACACTTGAGCTGCCTTGAGGGGTATGTAATGTCTAATCATTCTAAAACAGTTTACAGTTGTGTAGTTTAACGTGCTTATCAAATTTAAGTTTGGGGTCCAAACTGACACCTAAGAATTTAGAAATCCTTGACTTTCTCCATTTCCTCTTGATTTATTTAAATTAAAAGCTTATGTTTTGAATTTCTTCTCATGGAAAAAAACATTGACACAGTCTAGAGACACACCCTTCATTTCACTTGTTAATCTGTCTGCTGCTGCACAAGGGGTTTTAGCTGATACATAGATAAGTGTGTCATCAACATACATCTGACATCCAGCTCTTTTACAAAATCGAGCCTTGTGGAATTCCCATGGTAGATTGGTGGCGGGTTGAATATTCTGCATTGATTTTAAACGAACTGCTGTTTTGATTCGAGACAGGATGCAAACCAGCCAATTGCTTGCTCAGAAACACTGCTCCAACTACATTACCCTTGTCTAATGAGGACTTAATGTTTTTGGTGAGGTAGCAGTTGGCCATTTCAGTTGAATACCCTGGTCTAAATAAAAAGTAAATTATTTTGAAGGTGGTCAACCAATTGTTCTGTGATAATTCTTTCCAGGATCTTTGAGAGAACTGGTAGGATAGAGATTGGCCTTTAATTGCTTACTTGGTTGTTAATTGGCATTATGACTGGTGTTTTCCAGGTTTGTGGAAATTTACCAACTCTGATGGAGATGTTTATCAGATGGGTTTGAACAGAGTGGAGCTGTGTGAGCTGTTAATTACAGCAATATCCAACCCAAACCAATCCTTTGCCTTTGAATTATTTAATTTGAATAATTTAATTATTAGTTAAGTAAGACTGTTAAGATGTTTCCAGGGAGTAGTGCTTTTTTCTTCAGATTCTGCCATCAATTGTGTCAAGTATGTAGTTTTTGCCATGCGCAGTTCCCTGACAACTCAATGTCTTAATCCCTTAGAAATAAAGAGAACCGTAATTCATTTTGTGGACACTTTTTTCTATTAACTGGCGAATATCATTATTCAGCCAGGGTGAAGAGATTCTTCTTCGTATGCACTTAACATTTGTGTATATTTCTTAATCAGTCCTGTGAGTGTTTTCATCATAATATTACAACTATAATCTAAGTCTGTAGTTTGTAAAACGTTGTTCCAATCAATATATTTAATTCATTATAAAAGTGTGGCTTTTGGTTTTTGGGAATGTCTACATTCCCTAGTTTATGTACATCCATAAACATTGTTTGTTGGTTTTCTGACAATCGGGGTCATATTATGGTCAGAGAGGCCTGTTATTAAATTGTATCCTTGTAATTCATTGAGGTCTATTTGTCAATATCAAATGAATAATGGTTTTACTCGTTCGTGTGATTCTTGTCAGAAAGAGTCCGTCAGTAGATGTTGAATTTGATCTCCTTTTGATATTATACTCGGAATGTTCAAATGTCCACCTAGGACACTCTTAGGTTTGGATACAGAGTCCCATATCACCTTTGCATAATTTACAGTCTGGAAAACCTAAGTTCATGTTGTTTTCGTACTGCTTGGATACCTTTTTCACATTGTTCTTTTAATGTTCCATTAGCTGCGCTTATCATCCGCTCTGGCAGCTTGGATCGCTTGTGAAACTACGGTTTTCAGACTCCGACAGTTCGTGTCCCCTCCGGGTGGAAAACAGGGCTGACAGGTGGATTGAAGCTTTGTTGGGCAAT